CCCCCCCGTCTCCTTAGCTCCCCCCCCGTCTCCTTAGCTCCCGAAGGCCCATCTCCTTAGCTCCTGAAGGCCCCCCATCTCCTTACTCATCTATGGCAAGACATTTCTTCTGGACAAGATCACTGTTAAGGACTGAAAACGCCCTCATGCCAGCGTGTTAGGGGTTCCCCAACCCCATCAGACCCCTATGCGAACACCTACGGAATGCTCTCCCGCTGCCGCCCTCCATGGCTCCCTGTGCCCCCCTCACACAGCCACGGTCAGGCGTTCGACGTGCTCTCTGCTCACCACTCTCCACGCTCTAGTCACTTCTTTGTCCCCCACTGTGTCACTGCTGCTCGGGCACTAAAGATTCCCGTCGTCCCCAGTAAACTTCTATCAAATGCAATTAACTGTCTGCGCCTCACCGGGACCCCACTGCTCGGGTAATGGAGACACTCTCCCTCCACAGGCTTCCGTGGCTCCCCACCACCGTGGGTGTCTGCGCCATCGCGTCCCGCTGGGAAGGCACGGGAGACATCTCCCACCAGTGCCCTCAGTTCCCGTTACCCCCACCTGCCAAGGGCCTGGCTTTGAGGCCACTCTCCCCACGTTCCGACGTCCATGTCCCGTTCCTCCGCACGCTGCCCTCTGTGGCTCCCAAGTCCGTGGGTCACCTGTGCTCACCTGAGCGCAGCTGTTTGATGCGCCCGTTGCTGGCACTGGGGTCCACAGGCAGGAAGTCCTTGAACCAGGTGATCTCAGGGTCGGGGTTACCGCTGGCGGCACAGAGCATGGTGGCCGTCCGTGTCCGCTCCACTACTTTCAGCTGGGGGCCCATGTCGATGTTGGGGAAGCCGGGAGGCAGCTGGTCCTCTGTGGGCAGAGATGGGGACATGGGCCACAGGCCTGGTTACCCCTTGGTCATCCATCCCTCCAGCTTCCGGGCACCCAGCTTCCACCAGTTTGTCTCCCCTTCTGTGTTGAGTGGGGCCAAACACATTCACCTCAGGCTTGTCGGAGCCAGTAGACCAGAGCACAGGTGCTCACCTGGGGTGACTGCCCCCAGGGGACAACGTGTGATACCCGGGGACACACGAGCCTCAGCAGACAGCTGGATGTTGGCTGCACATGAGGGGCACGGGCTGGGAAATGAACCCAAGTCTCCCACACAGAAGTGAGACTTCCACCACTGTACCCCCAAGGCCCCCGCTTACACTACAATTCGCCAGAGAAGCCAAATCAGGCACATAAAACAGCCCATTACCTTCAAGTCAGCGGCTCGCAGCCACCCAACCACCGTGTGCGCACAAAATAGCCCACAGCCCTCACGTCGGCCGCTCGCAGCCCCTTCCGGGACAGAGAACCAAGCCAAGGGGTTCCCAGGCTCGAGGTCTTTATGATAGGCTCAAACCCCTGACTTCACAGTTGGCAGTGGAGTCCCCCAAACACCCACAGAAGAGAAGCTGACACACTGCCCCACCCCCCAGAACACTCCCCCCGCCACACCTGTTCCGAGGAGCCACCGCCCCCTTCCTGCGCCACCCCTGCCATCCTCTCGGCCCCTCCTCTGTTCTCTCATCGTCATCTGGACTGGCTCGCTCGTGCCCTGTTGTTCCAGGCCCCCCTGAGATGCGCGCTGCAGAATCACTGCTCCAGAGCACACGTGGCTGGCCGCATGTGGTCAATTCTGACTCAGAGGGACCCCAAGTGACAGAGAAATGCCCACTAGCGTGTCCTAGGCTGGCAGGACCAGACCACTCAGTCTTTCTCCCTTGAGGCCCGTGGCTGGATTTGAACTGCAGACCTCTTGTTTAGCAGCCCCGTGTACTATACCACTGTACCACCTGGACTCCTTTCCCCTGTGCGCAGAACTCTGGCCGTCATGACACATCCCTGGTGCCCAGGGCCAGGCCCAGCATGCAGTCGGTGCTCAATAAGTGAACAAGTGGCTCCGTCACGGCTGCTGCTGACCCTGAGAAATGCTGCACTGCTGCTCGCACCCCTGGTCACCTGTCAGCATCAGGCTTCCCCCCAATGGGGGATGGACTATGAGGGGAGAGAGACAGCCAGACAGGCCTTCCCAGAAACTGCCGATCACTGAGATCCAGCATCTGGTGCCCCAGGGATTCGTAACTGTGGAGTGGCAGGATCATGGGATGCTGAGGTACTGAGGGGACTGGCTAATGGACACGCCCCCTCCACCCAAGCACCCCACAGACCCTGAATACAGGCTCAGGGCCTCCTGTAGCCAGATCAGCTGACACCAAGGTGGGAGAGGCGGCTTGGGGGGACCTCCCAAAGAGGTCCTCCAACTCCTACGTCTGGATCAGGTACACCTTAGTCTTTAAAGTGAAACCCTTTCCCTTTACACATCTTTTGATTTCTGCTACCAGGTGTGCTGATTGTGGTTCCAAGTTAAATGACTCTATTGTTCCAAGAAGTGCACTAGCCAGAGTCAAACCTGAGTCTCCTTTGTAGAGGCTTTGGTGCTACCACTTAAAACCACCATGCCCTTCTAAAAAAAATCTTAATATTTTATCAAAAGGTGGTAATAGGGCAAAGTGTTTAAAGTGGTAAAACTATGTAATACAAACACACACACATAAATAAGTAAACAAAATTCCAGCAGACATTCTTTTCACAACGAATCCCAATACGGGTGGTTGTTCTGCCCTCAAACATCTAAACAAGCCAACAAAATGAATAGTCATCGTGGTGGTGGTGGTGAGGATGTGGAGAAACAGACACTCGCACACACAGGTGGCCGGAATCCTGCTTTATACACCCTTGTCCTGGGACAGGACAATTTGCTTCCATTCACACAGGGAGCCCTGGTTCCGAAGCTCAGCACCTGCAGTCTACATGGCACCACACACCAGAGGAAGGATGCATGGGGTTAGGATCCCTAAGGTACAGGTCAGAACAGCAAAAGGCTGAAGACAAACTCAACTCCTGTCAGTCAGGGACCCTGGGCTAATGGGGAACAGAATGCTGAAAAAGGCAGGAGGAACCATTTCACAAATCCCGAGAAAATTTTCAATATACAATGCTACATGGAAAAAGTTCAAAGTGAAGGGCAGTGTTGGAACAAGAGTCACAAATGACGGCTCTCCAGGGCTGCATCCACGTCACTGTTTTTGTTAATAAAACTTTACTGGAACACAGCTATGTCCCTTCACCTCTCATTGCTTGTGGCAATGTCCAGGCTAGGAAGGCAGAGCTGAGTGGCTGCAACAGAGACCCACTGGCCCACTGAGCCAAAAGTGTTTATTCTCTGGTGCTTTGCAGGAAAAGTGTGCCAACTTCCAGTGCAAACAACAGTACACGTGCAAAAAGGAAACAACACCCAGGTATGTGCTTACGATGCCAAGAAGGCACACGGAGCACAGGATTGGGGGCTGGGGACACAGGCCAACCAGGGAGGGACTGCCCCCCGGCACGAAGCAGTGGGGCGGGGGCGCTGGACAGGCGTCCACCTGTGCCACAGCGAAGGCCTCGGGCTCACTGTGTCACGTGCCTCTCAGCATCCACCCACCAGCACACACATGCTCCCCATCCACTCTGGTGCCCCTCTGCCGGCATCCCATGACGTTCTAGATCTTTCCATAAAGCCATCGCACCGCCAAAGTCAAAACCAAACACGTGGCCATCAAGTCAGTCCTGACTTGAAACCCTCGGGTTTCTCAGGCTCCAAGTCTTCATAGGAGATTGCCTATCTTTTTCTTTCCTAGAGCCGCCTGTGGATTTGAACCAACAACCTTCCGTTAGCAGCCTGATGGAACAGAGCACCAGCACTTCTTCAGAGAACTGCACCCTCATCTGGAGGTGTAGGTGGAAATGGCTCACAGCTGACCCTCTATCGGTTTCTGAGGCTGTAACTGGTACGTTGAAGACACGCTAGGGACACTGCTCATCTCTGTCCAGTGGAGCTGGAGGCAGGTGTGAACCACCAGGCAGGTGTGGCCTTCAGGTAAGGGTGTAACTCCCTACAGACTACACCCCAGGCCCGCCCGAATGGACCACGGTGAGGCGTAAACACAACTTCCAAGAGTCCCAGCAAATTAAAAGGTGTCTATGTAACAGGTTTACTGTGACTTTTGCTTTAGTGCAATGGGCTGGAACCGAACCCACAGATGGGAGGTGTGCCCACAATTCTGTCTGACCCGGGGGAAAATCACCCCAGGCCCAAGTCCCACACGCAAGTCCCAAGAGCCCTCTGCGCCAGGTCTCATCCTCCTCAGAGATGCAGCCCACTACACACAGACGGAAACTGAGGGCCAGACACACCCGGCTTGTACCGGGTAGCCAGGCTGCAGGGTGGCTGGAGTTTAACCCAGAGCTGGCTTGACTAAAGCCCTGGGTGGTGCAGACAGTTAAGTAAGTGCCCAAATACTTATCAAAAGGTTGGCAACTTGAACTCACCCAGAAGTACCCAGCAAAAAAGGCCAAGCAATCTACAACTGAAAGGTGGCAGCCTTAAAAACCCCCCACCACAGTTCTGCACCACAAACGGGGTAGCCACGAGCGAGAATCCATCAATCCATCCCTAACAACTAGCCAGGCCCAGAGGAGGCAGGGGGAGGCTGGCTGAGGAGCCTCCAATCCCGGCTTGGGCATTGCCAGGGTCAGAGCGGACCCAGCTGGAGGTGGGTAGCCCTCAGGGGCTAACCCCGAGGTTGACTCTGATTGGTTACCAGCAGCGTGACCAGTGGGGCAATCTGGAGCGGGGCCTTGGCTGTGCGTGCGTGTGCACGTGTCACGCGCGCCCCCACCCCGAGCAGATCTGCGCCCCCACGTGCACCCCACGGTGTACGCAGCCCGTGGGGGGCCAGCACGCGTGTGGGTGGCAGCCAGCAGGGCGGGGATCCGGCGCGCGCGGGGGCGGGGGGCGGCCGCGGCTTCTAATTAAACAAAAATGTTCATCGCGGCCCACATTGTGCCCAATTCCTGGGAGTTTAATTAAAACAACAGCGCGGGAGGCGTGCGCGGGGTCCGTAATCAGATGGTGGCGGAGAAGGGAGGCTGGGTGCGCTGGGAGCCGCCCCGAGCGGCCTTGCAGCCCAGCCTGGGGAGTGAGGGGAACAGGGTGCAGGGCCTGGTGGGGGTATCCCTGCACCCCGGCCTTCTGAACAGCCAAAGAACAGAGGAAAAGGAGGGGCGCTGGAGGGCACCGGGAGGGGTGGTGCGTCCCTCCCAGGGACAGAGCAGTTAACCGATTCACAGCTTGTCCTCTTAACTGTCAGGACAGAGGCTGAGCGAGCACACGGAGAGCTGCTGTTCTGTGTGTGTTGGAGAAGATCAGGTCTCAATCCTGCAGGGAGTGGGGGTGGGACGTGAGGCTCCTCCCCTCTGCTGGGCTGCCCCCCATCTGAAGGGCCTGGGGGTGCATAATGCAGGCTCAGGTCTGATGTTCATAGGGTCACTATGAGTCTCTAACAACAACAGCACTGCCTGTCCAAAGGCCGGTAGTGTGGACCTGCCTCCTGCACCGCGGAAGGCAGCCCTGGCGACCTGTCTGCAAAAAGTCACAGCTTTGTAAAGCACAAGGTGCTGCTCCACCTCATACACACACACACAGCCCAGTCACCAGGAGTTGGCATCGCACCACCAGCCACAATCAACAAAGTGCAGGATGAAACCATAGGGGTTCCCATAGCCACTGATACAAACCACCCAGCGGGGCACTCGGTTCTCGGGGAGCACTGAGATCATATGCCCATTGAGCTGCCCAGGGCTCCTGCTCAGAGTTCCACTGTCCAGGGGGATAGCGGGAGACCACCCAAGGGGCCACAAGTAGACTTACCCCCAGGGGTTAGGAGGGTCTGTCTGGCAGGCTGACCCCACAGAGCCAAGCACTGCAGCCCTCTTGTTAAAACCAGAATAAATGACAATAATCCTTGCCACCAATAGAGGGAGCTGACCGGGAGCTGCTGGCCTGCCTGCCACCCTGCTGCCCCGCGTCCCTCATTTCGCTGGCTCCCACTATGACCCTGGTGGGAGGGAGCTGTTACTGCCCCACTTACAAGAAGATGAAACTGCAGCTCAGAGAGGTCTGTTAAACTCGCCCAGAGTCACAGCAAAGTGGCAGCACCAAGTAAGATTTAAACTCCACGCGTCAGGCCCTAAAGCCAAAACCTTCAAGCTCTGACTTAAAACCAGACTATTGGGAAAGGCAGCGGGGAGTGGCCGAGAGTGGGTCCACGGCCAGGCCGAACGACGCTGTTTGTTTATAACGAGGAAGCAACTTCCCTAGGCCCCTGATGCGTCTGGATGAGGCCTGCAAGCAGCCCAGGATGCAAGCTTTCCACAGGGTCCTGTGGATAAACAGTGGGCGCACGGGCGGCTGTTTCTGTCTGCCTAGCATCTATTTGTCTACCATCCATTTATCACTCCTTACCAGCCCTTCCAAGGAGGCACAGGGGAGGAGTCTGGCCAGATTCAAAACTCCGGGGCCATGATGACTGGCCCAGGGCTGGGCGTGTGACACAAAGACCACCAATGAGCAACAAACCCTGGGACAGCAGCTTTTTTTTTTCTTTTTTAGGGCCTGTGTATGGAGTGACTTAAGGAACTGGGGCATCTTATTGAACATGATAGCAAAGAAAACAAGTCCAGGAGACGAGAGACACGAGGCCCTGAGAACATTACGTGAGACCCTGGACCCCTGTGCCCACAGCGAGTCTGGAATCGTGAACATTTCTATTACACAAACACCAGCTGCTACGGAGTCACTGCTGAATGATGGAGGGGCCACGGGCTTCAGAACAGAACTGCGCTCCATGGGGAGTCCAGGGGCGACTTTCTGAAGCAGATCACCAGACCTTTCTTCTGAGGCACCTCTGGGTAGACCTGCCCTTCCAACCTTTTGTTTAGCAGCTGAGATTCAAACTCAAACTTCTTGCTTTGGGTGGGAAACGACTCACAGCTGAGACTGAAAAGTAACCATCTCTCTGTCAAGGAGCTGCTGGTGGATAAAAACAGAGGACACTGGTGGACTTGAACAGAGGACCCACGGCTTTGGGGTCAGCAGCCTAACTGGCTCGACTACACCACCAGTGCACCCTTCATAACTGTGAGTGCTAGTAATTCTCTTTCTTGCTGTGGCCGGTATGAGCTGGGGCACATTCAGGAGGTCAAGGACCCCAAGGGTCTGTGGTCACTTTTGCCCGTGGAGTCTCAGGAACTCAGCACCAGCAGGCCTTGGGCCCCGCAGCGTTAAGGGATGGCAGCAGAGGTCTGAGCCCCACAAACGGGAAAGTCCAATGTGGAAGGCTTGAGTCTCGGCAAGGATGCCCCCGAGTCGGCACCCAGCACTTCCCCGTCCACCGTGGGACCCCGGTACCTCGGAGGACAGTGAGCTTGGCGTGGACGGTGATCTCCCCGACTGAGTTCTGGGCCACACACTCGTACACGTTCTCATCCCGGGGGGTCCGCAGTGGCTGGATTCTCAGCACGGCGCCTGCGCTCTCATCAAACTCGATCGTCTGTCGGGGACGGGGGTGGGGAAGGTGCACTGTGAGGCTGGGGCCCAGACAGGCCGCATCCATCGGGGATGTCATGAGTTGTTGGGGACACCATCATGGGTCCAGGGGTCAGTGGTGGACACCCCCATGGCCCCAGGGTTAGCTGGGAGAGGAGCTGGGGGTTGTGCACCCACATGTGGGCATTTAAAACTACACACCTCCTCGCTGGCCTCAAGTCAACCTGTGACTCTTGGTGGCCTATGCACACGGAACGAAGTACTATCCCATCCTGCACCACCCCCGTGACAGGTTGCGGTTCAAACCCCTGTGATCTGCAGGGTGTTCACTGGCTGATTTGGGATGACTGCCAGGCCTTTCTTCCTAGTCTCTTCGGCTGGCAGCTCTGCTGAAACCTGTCTGGCATCCTAGCTGACAGATGGCTGGTGACCATGCATGAGGGTCACTGACCAGGACTCAAGTCTGGTCTCCCCCTCTTAGGAGGCAAGGTGGGTGAGCTGGAAGTGGAAACCCAGGCCCAGTGCAAATGTGGAAAGAGCACTGGCTTGTGTGCGCCAGCTGTGGGGGTCATGTGAAGGGAGACCACACAGGTGTGAGAGCGGGTGTCTGTTTACTGAGGGTCCAGGAGGCTTGCCTGGCCCCGGCTGCCCTCGTTCCACTTGGGGACACTTCTGCGGCCTCTCGTGACTGAGGTGCTGGGGCCACGTTGAGGGGTTCCTGGCCTGAGACCTCCTTACTCCACACATACAGCCCCCCCATCCCCTACTCACCTCAAAGCGCTGCGAGTTGACCTTCTTGCCCTTCTTGTTCCAGGTCACACGTGGCTTGGGGTCGCCCGTGGCCTGGCACACGAAGGAGGCCACACCCCCCGAGACGCCAATCTGGTCTTTGGGCTCTTTGATGAACCTGGGGGGCTCTGGGAGAAAGCAGGGGGAAGTGACTCGCGTGGGTAAAGGGGGGTTGAGGCTGTGACCCTGAGGGATAGACAGATCCACCCTCTGCCCAGCTAGGTGGCCCCACATAGACCCCACAAAACGACCCCACAGCACCCACAGGCAGTGGTGTGCAGCCGCCTGACACAGCCAGTGCACACCCACACACACGCACACCGCACGGGGCACACCTGCTTCTATGTATCCTTGGGGAGGGTCCTTAAAGCCAGCACCTGGAGGCCCCCCGGGGTGACCCATCAGACCCTAGAGGGTCCTTGGCCCTGAAAAGACCTAGAAGGAGGTAACCCAGTCTAATCCTTCAGCAGGACCTGGGGCTAAACCAAAGCACAAAGACTCAGATGGGCCGTGGACTCAGGCCCATTGCTGCTGTGACGTCGAATCAGCACCGGCTCACAGCTGACCCTCCAGCGGCTTTTCAGAGACTCAGTGCTCGGAGCCCGGGGCCCTGACCTCTCTGTTTAAGGTGTCTGGGCGAGGACACACACTCAGAGCGAGCTCCAGGTTCTAGGTTGGAGCTCCTACCGTCCATGACCTTCCATAGGGCGGGGCACCGGGACGTCACATCCCCACAGGACATGTGGAGAAACTGAGGCACACCAGGCAGGGTGCTGGCTGAGGAAACAGAGCCGGCCAGCAGCTGAGCCAGATTCGTGCGTTTTTGTCAACTGGGATGAAATTCTCAAAACGGAGAATTCCTCATTTTACAAGAGTCTACAGAAAGGAAGCTCTGGCGGCTTAGTGGTAAGGAGTTGCACTGTCAGCCCAAAGGCTTGAGGTTCAAACCCAGCCGCTACTTTATGGAAGAAGAAGGGGTAGTGTCCTGCCTTGCGATTTACTGCTTCTGACAACCAGCTATGAGCCAGTTCTGACTGGATAGTGTGGAACTACAGTCCACTCCAGGAGCTCTGGTGGTGCAGGGGGTTGATCTCCGGGCTGCTAACTGGGAGGTCAGGGGCTGGAATTCACTAGCTGCTCCTCAGGTAAAGACACTTTGCTTCTGTACAGATGCCAGCTTCGGAGACCCTTGGAGAAGGGCTTTTGTGTTTTGGATTTTGGTGTTTTTTTGTTGTTTTTTTTAAATTTTATTATTGTGTGTGTACCATTGAATTGGATCTGACTGGTACAGGAGGAGATTGCCCCTCCTCCAGCAGAGCATCTGGTGGATTCGAACCACGGACCTTTGGGATTGCAGTGCAGCTTCTTGCCACTAGGCTACCAGAGCTCCCTAAGTGGGGAGGGGGGTTTAACGGTGTCAGCCAGGGTGCTCTGGTGGCCAATCAGCAGGGTCTTGCTCCAACTCCAAGGTGGAGCCTCTCCATGTGCTGAATCCACCAGCAGCTTCATAGGAGAGAGATGGGCAGTCTTTTCCCGGGTGATTTACCACCACTGAAAATCCACTGGACGGTCAGCTGAGTCAGTTCCAATCTGACGGCAGTACTTGTTGTTGTTGTTATTGTCTTCGAGTCAAGCACAACTCATAGCGAACCTATGAACAAAAGGCCTGAAGACCCTCTACAACTGTTGCCATGTATCAAAGTGCATAGAGTTTCCCAAGGCATGTTATTTAGGAAGTGGATGCGACTCCTGCTTCCAAACCTGTCACAGTATGTTATTGGTTGAGTTGCCTGTGATGCACAGTGACCTTATGGACGGCAGCTCTGAACCCTGCCCTGTCCTGAGCCAGTCTCACTAACGGTGACACACCAACCCCCATCGCCCCAGTTACTGTATCAATCCATCTCCCTCTACTGCTCTGTCCTTTCACCCTTCCAAGCATGACATTCTTCTCCAAGGACTGGTCCCTCCTGGCCACGTGCCCAAAGTGAGGCAGAGGTTCAAAATCCTAGCCTCCAGGGAGGGACTTGGTTTCACTCTCCCCAAGATAGACCTATTTGTTTTCTCGGCAGTCCACGGTATGTTCAAGACTCTTCTCCAGCACAACTTGAAGGCATCTATTCTTCTGTCATCCTTAAACATTGTCCAACTTTCAGAAGCATAACAAGTAATTGAGAAAACCATGGCCTGGATTAGGTACTCCTTTGTATCTAGATTGACATGGTTGCTTTTCAGCACTCTGGAGAAGTCCACGACAGCAGACTTTTCCAGTGCAATACGTCTTTTGATTTCCTGGCTGCTGGTATTAACAGTGTTGACTGTGGCAGCACATTCATAACGGTGTACAACTATCACCGCCTTTCAGTCCAAACCATCTCAATCGTCCCAAAGTAAAAAAGGCTGCAGCCTGTAACCCACCTCACTGGCCAAGACCAGCTGCTACAGGACATGGTGGCTGGTGGAGGCAGGATTGATGAAAAACCCAAGGGAATCCTCTGTGCGGTGGAGACACAACACAGTCACCCTGAAGGGCCTGAACACCCATGATGATGAGTGAGACCAGGCAATGCTTCACCCTGTGGTCCTTGAGGTGCCCCCGAGCCAGGGCTGACTCCGTGGCAGCCAGCAAGAACCACCGTCCATCAGCAAAATGCGAGAGAGCTGCCTGCTGAAGTAACGGTCAGGGGCTCAAGCCAGCCAGTGGCACCTCAAGATCAAGACTGGTGACTCGCTTGTAGAGATTCCAGCCTGGAAAACCCAGGAGGCACGGCTTCTATTATCACCACGAAGTAGAACTGACTTGGCAGCAGTGGGGAGCAGGAGCGAGCCAACCAGCTGTCCTGCAGCAGAAAGACGTGGCAGTCGGCTTCTATAAATGTTCACAGACTTGGAAACCCTACCAGGCGGCTCTACACCGGCCCTCCCACAGGGTGCAAGGGAGGCAGAAATGGCTTGGTGGCTGTGGGTTTGGGGTTTTTTTCCTTTAAGGGCTTGGTAACATTGTTTTCTTTTTATTGACCCTTTCTACAGTAACCTTTGAATCACCCAGAAGTTGTCTGGATTCACAGTAATGCTACAGTGTATCCCTTTGGATTTTTACCTCTTTTATTTTTATCTCAGTGTGTGCTTTGAGACTTTTTATCAACAGACTCTAGAGCTGCAATGTACAAGGTCCCAAAAAAAACAAGGGAAGGGAGCTCTGGTGGTCTAGTGGCAAGAAGCTACACAGCAATCCCAGAGGTATGCGGTTCAAATCCACTAGATGCTCTGCTGGAGAAGGAGGGGCAATCTCCTCCTGTACCAGTCAGATCTGATTTTATAGTACACACACACACACACACACACACACAAAACAATAAAATAAAAAAACAAAAACAAACAAAAAAACCCCCACACCACCACCAAAACAAAACAAGGGAAATAGCCACTGACTGGGGATTAGTTAAACCCAGGCAGTTCCAGCTGCCCCAGCGTCCACAGTTGGTGTCAGTAACAAGTATTCAGCAGCTAACTCAAAAGGGGTTGGAAGTCTGAGATTACCAGAGACACCCCAGAAGAAAGGCCTGGGTCGGCTGCTGAGAACTCTCTGGAGCAGAGTTCCATGCTGACACTCCTGTAGTCACCATGAGTTGGAAATGATTAAAAAACAACTGAGGCCCTCCCCCTTATTTTTGGCATGAATCAGGCAAGCAGTGGAGTACTATGCAGCCAGAAAAAGGAAGAGCTGTTTGACAATGGATAATTTTGGGGGAATGGTCAAGATTTACTGTTAGACAGAAAAACAATAAATGGGAAGAAAAGTAGAGAGTGCTACCACCACATCTGCAATAAGGAAAAAAAGAGTGAGCAGGAGAAAATGTGTGTGCATGTACACTAATGTGTATGCTCAGAGGGTCTCTCTCTTTATAGGAAAGGGAGAAACAATGGCTGCCCCAGGAAAAGGAACCGGGAGGCTGCTGTCTTGTTGTTGTAAAGTGCCACTGAGTCGTAGGTGACTCATAGCAACCCTATGAAGGAAAGTCCTCGACACTTGTGTGACTTTCAATCCTCTCTCCAGGTTCACAGGGTTTCTGGAGGCAAGCTCTTTACAGAAGTGGATGCCACTCCTGCTTCCAAGCTTGTTTCAACCGGGGAGCACTACCAAACACTGTCCACCGTGGGTAACCGTTATTGCATTTGACACATCAGTGTCACAGTGTTCAGCATCACAGCAACCACAAGTTACCTCTGTACGGCAAGTGGACACACCAGGGATATACAACCTAGAAGAATGTTTGACCAACAACAATTTAAAACAGGCCTGAGGGCCGCGGATTAGAGTCACCCACCTTTGGCTTGGTAGCATCACTTTCGGCCCACAAGGCCAACTGGTCTCTCTCAGTGTTGTTAAGTGTGCACAGCACGCTATGAAGGAAGTCTTCCACAGGCGTGCATGACTTCCCTTGGTGTCTTATCTAGGTTCAGAACAAGAAAGCCACACCCACTACCACCTAGCTGATTCCTACACACTGGGCCCCTCCCTCAGGTTTCTGGATCTGTACGTCACTGTGGGGGAGAATGCCCCTCCTCCTCCTACACAACAGCTAGTAGACTGGAACCGGCTGCCTTTAGGTTCGCAACACAACATGCTCCACACTAGGCCACCAGAGCTACTAACACTTACATCTGTGGTGGTTATGATGTGCCGTCAAGTTGCTTGTGACTCACAGCGACCCTACGTACAACAGCTCTGAAGCCTGCCCTGTCCTGAGCCACTCTCACTGACTCCGACACACCAACCCCCAATGTCCAATTACTGTGTCAATTCATCTCTTCCGGGGTCTTCCTCTCCTGCACTGTCCCTCCACCCTTCCAAGCATGATGTCCTTTTCCAAGGACTGACCTCTCCTGGCCACGTGCCCAAAGTATGTGAGACAGAGCTTCAAAGTCCTCGCCTCCAAGGAGAAGCTTGGTTTCACTTTCTCCAAGACAGACCTATTTTTTTTCTTGGAGGTCCATGGTATGTTCAAGACTCTTCTCCAGTACCACAACTCAAAGGCATCAATTCTTCTGTCATCTTGAGTCCAGTCTATGGTTTTGGCAATTGCTTTTAGACTTAGGACTAGTTAATTTTTGTTTTATTTATTTA